CAAAAATCTAGCCGGGCAAGGTGGGCGCCTGTAGTCCCAGCTACTCGGGAGGCTGAGGCAGGAGAATGGCGTGAACCCAGGAGGCGGAGCTTGCAGTGAACTGAGATCTGGCCACTGCACTCTAGCCTGGGCGACAGAGCCAGACTCCATCTAAAAAAAAAAAAAAAAAAAAAAAAAAACAAAACAAAAAAAATTGTTAAGAGTAGATTTTAAATGTTCTCACACAAAAATGAAGGGTGTAAGATTATCCATATGTTAATTGGCTTAATATCACCTTCCACAATGTATACATATTTCAAAGCATCATGTGCTACAAGTTAAATATATACTATTTTTGTCAACTAAATAATAATAAAATAATGTAAAAGAAATAGAAACAACAGAACAGAATAGAGTAGGATAAAATTATAAAAAAAAAAATAACCATTAGTGTGCTTCAAAAACAATAAGCGTAAATATTGTCTTGTGGAACTTTGTGATGCCAATTATATTTCTTGCTGTGAGCTGTGTCCCAAAAAGTTGGAAAATCACCAATTTAACCCATTTTACTTTGATTTTGTTAGGCTAGGAAACAAGACTGATTTTTTTTTTCTTTTGTGTATTTGCAGTATAAGTTATCTTAAGTAATTAAACATTAATAAAAGAACAGTATCATAGTTCCTCAACAAATATCTTTGTATAGAACTTGAGAGGCCTTGGAGCTGGCTACTAACATGAAAGAGGGAGGCTGATAACTGGATACTAAGATGAAAGAGGGAGGCAAAAACCTTTTTGACATGAAGGGGCACCTTCTCCCAGGCTCTAAAGTGACTCTAAGTCCTGCTGCTTCCTAACTTGGTCTTGGTCCTTCTTTTCTTCAAGTGTATATAAACCTTCTTCTCTTCAAGTTCATAAAACCAAAGAAATTGTTGAGGGCAGGAGTGATAGGGAGTGCAGAGATCATGATAACAAGCTAATCCCTTACCCCACTTCTGTGGAATTTGGCAGAAATATTGCATAGGGTGCAGACAATAAAAGCACGTTGACATACTCTTCAGTTGGTCGTCTTTTCATCTTTTCCTCTCTTATGGAAAAGGTCAACTGCTCTTACTTTGTTTTTCCTTGAGTAGTTGAGTAGACAAAGCAAAAGGAAAGAGCTGGCTTGGCGCAGTGGCTCACGCCTGTAATCCCAACACTTTGGGAGGCCGAGGCGGGTGGATCACGAGATCAGGAGACTGAGACCATCCTGGCTAACACCGTAAAACCCCATCTCTACTAAAACTACAAAAAATTAGCCGGGTGTGGTGGTGGGCGCCTGTAGTCCCAGCTACTCGGGAGGCTAAGGCAGGAGAAGGAAAGAGTAAGCAACTACAGGTAATTGAAGTTTTTAACTGGACTACACTGGTTTGGACTTTTATATACCTTAAAGTGCCTGAAACCTATGAGATTTTTCTCATGATGGTATTATGGAGCAGGGCGAGGTGTGGGCTAGATTGGGAATAACATATTGAAGACAGTGATTGAAAGGAAATAAAACTACATTTTATTTTTTGCATACCACCCAGTTGGAAGTTTTCAATAATCAGCTCATCTGAATAAATGAGGTGTGGAAAATAAAATTCAATATAAAATACACTTCTGTCAATATGAAGTAGTAGAAAGTTCAGGGACTTCATACTCAAGGACATCAGACTTTGACAATTTCAATCATAACTCCTCCCATCATTAGCTAAGGGTCCTTGGGCAAGTCACTCATCAGTTCAGTTGCTTTTAATCTGAAATGGTATACTAAAATCTACTTCAGATTAAGATTAGATGAAGAACAGGCATGTCCAAATGCCCATACATAGACGCCTCTCAAAGTTTTGTAGTTTCTTTCCTTCTCTTTTTCCCCTTCCCCCAGAATTGGCATCTGAAATAGATTATTTCTATAACACAGGAAAGTAAGTCATATAAGAGCATTTGATTTCAAAAATAAGCACCGTAAGAATATAGTATGTAACTTCTCATGAGGACCATTGGCATTCGTGTGGAATCTGCAGAACAGACAGCATTGTCTTAGGTTCAGATTTTGGAAGGGAAGAAATCTAGACAATGCTCTGATTTGGGAGGATGACAACTTTCATTTAAGTAAATTAGTCATGTAGCTAGCAGTGGAGGATAAGTAGGCTAGATGTGAGATGGTGGGGAAGTCATGGAATTCTCTGAGTGAGAAAATGTTGGCACAAATTTGTTTCACTATAGCAGATGTCAATGATTGCTCATCATTAGCCTCTAACTTATAATAAATAATAATTACATAATCTATGTTATGTCTTTTTAGTTAATTATATCTACTGAAATTTAGGGATGTTGGTAGTTTGTTTCAGAAGTTTTTGACTAACAATGTATATCCCTGTATAAACCATAACAGTAGTAATTATCTGCTGTGGCATTTGAAAAATTTGTCTTCTCCATCTTTTATTTCATTTAACTAAGCCAATCACCTTAGTTTCAAGTATATATATATTTTTTTGCATTCAAAATGATGAGTAAAATCTCTATAATTCATTACACTAAATAGTATAATAAAAATGATGCCCGATAACTTTGTTTGTAGAAAATATGCTTAGCTAAACTTGATCACCTACTACATAATTTTTCAAATTCAAGAAGTATTAAAATTCTGCATTATTTAAAATGAACTAATCAAGTGTTATTTAAAGAATGAAAAGAACTTGGAAGAGGAAAACTCACAAACATTCTGATTTACCAACAGGTCATTTAGTTCGGGCTCTGTCTGAATACATAGATTTGTTACTCATCCTTCATTTTAAGAGGTTTATTTGTCCTTTTCTTTAAAACCATGATTCTTAACACTATATACATATTATAATAACTTGACTTTAAATGTATTTTTAAAAATGTACTATTTTCATGATTTTTAAATGTACTAATACCGTGGACCCACATGCAGAGATTTCTGCTTTAACTGGCCTAGGCTAGAGTTTGAACATTGTCTGTTTCAAGAGCTCTCCACATGGTGTTAATGTAGAATGAGAATTGAGACCCAGTTTTCCAAAGCTTCCTTTAGCTTTTTCAGAATTGGTGAGTTGCTTTATCCTTTGGGTATATTACAGATCTATTCATAATTTCAATAGCATTTCCATTCAATATTGTAATGTGTCTATTTATGAATCAATCTCCTCAATCTGAATCTGGGAATGTCTCAAAGTGGAAACCAAATTAATTCTTTATTGGGTATCCAGCATCTACCAGAGTGTGTCTGAAATATTATGGGAACTCATTAAATGAGGATCCAGGACTGTGATGTGTGGATGTGCATGAGAGATAATTTATAAAGATTGGTGCAAATATTAAGGCAATATTATTATAGACAATGCATGAAGAGGAGATAGTTTTAGGTCAACTTGATTATATATCTTTCGATGCTTTTGCATTTTAACTTACTCCAATTTGTCATACGGAAATAAAGACATTGACCTTCAGGTTTATTTGTCTTATGGAAGAAATAAAGAGATTATGTCACTAAATCAAATATTTTTCTTACTTAGGGAAGAGCTAACGTGCATTCAGCTGCCTGCTATTATCAAAAAGTTAATGTTATTAAGCAATCAGATGATAAGCTTTAAACTCATCTATGCTAAAGACAAATGCAATATAATTACAAATCAATAGCATCCTACAGCAAATATGGAAGTAGCTGTGCATATTTTAGAAAATTTGGAAAGTACTTATAATCCTCAGTGGACGATGCTCCCCCTGGCCTCTCATGAAACATGACCAAAGCATAGTGTTCTTACTCAGCTGGAGGAGGGCTCTCATTGGTCAGACAAATTGGAAATGAGGATCAGAGTGGTCCCTGGAAATCCCTGAAGAAGGGTTGATATCAGTAATCAAACACCACCTTTTTATCATATGAGAAATGGCTTGCCATGCCTCAGCTACCTGCTTTGACAAGCTATTTCTTACGGTTCCATCAGACCTGCTCAAGTTTCAAAACATTAGGCCTTGCTTGCCTTAACATGCTATAAGAAAAAAGTATCAAAAGAAATAGATACTGCTATAAAGATTTATTTTGTCATTTCATATTTTAGAAATATATATTGCGAAATGGAAGAAAGAACTTGTAATCAATCCAATATACTACACATTCCTTATAAGTCCACTGTGTGTAAGGCTCTATTATTTACTGAGAGGTAAAACATAAAATGAAATACAGCCCTCAGGCAATAATATCACTCAGAAAATCTCAGAGCAAGGGGCTCATCTGTAGGATTCAGCAGAAAACTTCAAAATAATCCTGAAAATTATCCATTTCAGAAAAGCAGAGACACTTGATATGTACCCAAAACTATATTCAATCGAACGGTGCACACGTTTTGAGATCTACAAATTGTGGGGTGATGAGATAGGTGGTGAGTAACACACAAACAGCGCTTTTCTTTGACATTGATGTCAGTAGGCAGGACTATCTCTGAAGTCAGAAAGAACAGGTTTTTAAATTTTGGAAGAGAACAACCTGTGTTTGAATCACCTAAGAGCTTGCTAACATAAAAATTCATGGTCCCTACCCATTGAATTAGAATTTCTAGTAGCAGAGTTCTGGAATCTGCATTTTAACAGCTCCCATGGGAGATTCTTCTGTATATTAAATTTAAAAACCAGTCTCCTAGTTTGGGGTGGCAGATATGACTTTGGAACAGAAACTAGGAGATATGGATTATAATATCAATTCATCCATTAGCTAAATTGCTTGGCAAATTCTATGTCATGTTTGTTGTTGTTCTTCCAATTTATTACCTGCAAGTAACATTCAGTAATGTTTGTTCAGCTAAAATTAATCAAATATTGGTTAAATAACTTAATGTTTAAATCTCATTTTTTCTATAACCTAGCTATTCTGAACTATATGATTTTAATGCATCTTCTAGTTCTAATACTCCAATAAAGCAAGAACTACCTCAGTTCTGATGCAGCCACAACTCCTAGGCCAATGATGACTCATAAAACCATGTATCTCCTGATATGTTTTCTCTGGAGTTGGGAAAACTCAGGGAACTTGTATTAGCCTCACAGGTAAGGTACCTAAAAAGTAAGAGATGCTGGTTTAAAAAACACCAAACAGACATTGCTGTGTTGCAGCTTACTTGCACATTCAAAATTACAGTAAAGGATCAGTCACAGTGTCTCATGCCTATAATCTCAGTACTTTGGGAGACTGAGGCAGGAGGATTGCTTGAGCCAAGAGTTTGAGACCTATGCTACATAGTGAGACCTCATCTCTACAAAAAATAAGCAAAATTAGCCTAGTGTGGTGGCACACACCTGTGGTCCCAAGCATACTTGTGGGGCTGAGGTGGAAGGATCTCTTGGGCGAAGGAGGTTGAGGCTGCAGTGAGTCATGATCATGCTACTATACTTCAGCCTGGGCAACAGAGCAAGACCTTGTTTCAAATACATTCACATGTGTGTGTGCACGCATGCACGCGCGCACGCGCGCACACACACACACACACATACACACACACAGAGTGAGAGAAAAAATGTCCAAGATTTTCCATGTGAATTGTTTCAGCTTCTGCCTAAGTAGATCACCCAGAGGTTTAAAGAATCTTTAGCAGGAAGAAGTTAGAGGTAGAATAGTGATTCACTACAGGAAAAACACATCAGCTTTAAACCTTTCACAAGCCAAAGTCACAGAGTTAAATCATTGAAATAGTATACAGTAATATTTACGTGGTTCTTTTTACCTCTTCAACTTGGGAGGAACCTGAGGTAGGATATGATGGAAGAACAGAAGAAAGACTCACATCCCTCATCCCAAGCTTTAGTCCTTGGTCAGAGAAGGGGAGAAGACTTACTTCCAAATAAAGTTGGAAATTTTGACGATTACATGGAAATAGATCTTTCTGTTACTGAAGTTAGATTGTTTCAGAGGTTGACAAGACTAAATTTACTCCGGATTTCAAGCTACCGCAAAGGGAAAATGTAACCTTACAGAGTGGGTTTGAATATATCATAAGGGAAAACAAAAATATCAAATTTTTATATATATATATATGTTATTTTATAGTTCCAAATTCTTGCATTTTTTTCTAACAATTAATCTATAAAAATATGTTGAAAATTAGTAAATGAAAAGAATCCTTCCTGGCCTTTTGTGTGATGAGAAGATGTACATGACATTGTTCCCAATCTTAGTGAAATTTTCCTGTTTATTTGCAGGATAATGTCAATAATTAGATTTCAATGCATAATAAAACAAATATAATTGATATAAAGCAAAGTTATTAATTTTAACTGGAAAGATCTGGCATGTTTTCCCATAGCAAGGGCATTATCAAGGTCTCTTGAAATTTTTTTTTTTTTTAAACAGAGAAGCAAAGAAACAACAACTTGATGAGAACGCAGAGTAGTGAAAATATGGGGTGTTTAGAAAGGGAGTAGAGAACAGTATGAAATTAGAGGATCGTGAATACAGGAATGACAAAAGCTGTATCTTAAAAAGATATTCTTAAATAAAAGTAATAAAGTTTTTGAATAAAAATGGTTTGTACTAAACCTGTTAAAAGTAAAATGTCATTTGGGGGCTAATGTTAGAGAAAATATAATTTTATGAGGTTTTTGATATTTTTATTTTGCAAAAATGCAGACTATACATTTTATTTAAAATCTATACTGTATTTGTAGATTCTCAACTATAAATAATATTTGAGAAAAACATAAAATTTAAATATTTCCATGTTCACGCTAAACAAATGACAATAAAATGCAGGCTTCTTTTGGAAAGAGTAGTATAAATGAAAGACAGAATATTAATTGTCTTTGGAACCAAATTATTGGTCATCCATATAAATAGAATTGTGAATCTTAAAGTTGTCTTTAAAGAAAAATTTGTGTTTGTTGTCTTAAAAATTAACTTGGAGCCAGATGCGGTTGATCCAAGCCTGTAATCCCATCACTTTGGGAGGCCAAGGTGGGTGGATCAAGAGGTCAGGAGATCGAGACCATCCTGGCTAACACGATGAAACCCCGTCTCTACTAAAAATACAAAAAACTTAGCTGGGCGAGGTGGTGGGCGCCTGTAGTCCCAGCTACTTGGGAGGCTGAGGCAGGAGAATGGTGTGAACCCGGGAGGTGGAGGTTGCAGTGAGCCGAGATTGCATCACTGTACTCCGGCCTGGGCGACAGAGCAAGACCATCTCAAAAAACAAGAATTAAAAAAAAAAAAAAAAGAAAGAAAAAGAAAAACTCTATGAAACTAAAGAAATACAAAGAAGCAAAAATAGAATGTTTAAGATGATGGCAGTGTATCAATATTAAGAGAGATTAAATAGCTTAGAAACTTTTAGAACAGGAAATGAAAAGAGGAAATGAGGGCACGCTAAAAACAAGAGAACAAGAGAAGCCTTCTTCACCAAATCCCATTATGAATAAGCCCCTGTGTGGCATTTTACATGTAAACACTAATTAAAATGAATATTGAAATGGATAAAGAGAATTATGGTTATGCAAAATATTTCCATGCAGATGCTTATAGACACATGTCTTGAGGACCATGTGGTGCAGGTGTAAAACTGAGTTTCTTGGAAAGTGATTTACTGGCAAAGAAGTAGCAGAACACACCCAATTCCCTGAGTTTTCCTTATTGGATATCTTTGGCAGAGCAGAGGTGAGCTCTTGCATTGCCAGTAGAGGGGTGCTGGCCCTCAAAGATCTATACGTTTATAGAGTCAGAAGACAAGAGCTTCTATCTGGTCTGGAAAGTCACATTTTGGAAAGGAATATCTCCAGATAGACCAGCTCCGTCTTCCACTGAGCTAACTCAGACCTGGTCAGCCAGGTGTCACCTAAGCTATTCAAATGCTGAAGGAAATAATCCTCCAGATTTAGCAATTTTTTAAAAAAAGATTTTCATTTACGCTTGAATTTCAGACAAAAAATAATCAATTGTTTGTGTATAGCTGGCTACGTCTGGGACACACACACTAAAAGAAAGTTATCTGAAACACAAAGTGAACTAAATTTGTATTTAATCTGGCAATCCTATACCAGATTTGTCTCTATTGTCAATGATAACAAATGACCTCCTCAGTGGTGGGTGGGAGTGGTCGCATGACACAAACAGCTCAAGTAGAAGTGTATATTTATAAATTGTATATATTTATGTGTATTTGTCTCAAGGCAAAGCTGACATCATCTTTTCTGTCACATTATTCTTTATTTTCTCTTGTTGTGTCTTCTTGAAATTATTCTATGTGATCCCAGGATTCCTAAAGAGTGTCAAAATAAAGGGAGAAAATATTCTTTAATACTGGGCAGCTTTGAGTTTTATTTTCCTTTTGTTATCATGGACAAGTTGCTTCACCTTAAGCTAAATAGCTAAACTTTCTTACCTGTAAAGTAGGCTTGGATAATATCAGACATAGAGCTTTTTATGAGTAAATGTTATAATGTATATCAAATGCACAGACTAGCAAATGCTCACTAAATGATAGAAATCATTAAAATAACATGTTCTAGAAATATATTTTTCCAATTTATAAAAACTAAACAACACTTTAGAAAGATTGAAATATGCATGTTTAAAAACAAATGGGAGAAAATGATATTTCACATATCAAGTGGAATAAGCTTAAAATGTAGTTCTCCACAATTGAACAGGTTCACAGAGAGGAGTTCATTATGGAATCAAAATGGAATAAAAAGGAAAGATTCCACATACGTGTTCGTGCTTAAATATTACTGAACATATCATGGTGTTTTGGAGAATATTCTTTTCGTAATACCATGTAGAGAAGAAACTACCAAGCTTTATGTTCTTTCGTTTTTTTAATAAATATAATCAAATGTCAGTTTGCCCAACCATTAACACTACTTAAATGAAAAATTCAAAGTAATTTCTCTTCTTGTTATGTGCCCATCCCCATCTTCAGTAATCATTCTGAATAGATTTTAATTAAAAATTTACCTCGGTCAAGTTTTGAAATCTAGGGCTTTAAACACCCTACACTGAATTATTATTTAAATGAAAAGCTTTTTATCCCATGAAGCAGACTGAAATATGTAGCGCCGAGATTTCAGACATGGCATGAAATTTCTTAAAATTTCAGTAAGTGTTTTTCTTTCTGTAAGAGTAGTGACTTCCCATTGAAGATATGAATGCACTTGGGGACTACTGCTGCAAGTCATAAACTACTCAAGTGCTGTGGCCATCTTCTGATTGATGGTATTACAGTCATTTGATGATCATCTTTTATCCTATATATCATAATCTTCCATTTCGAGGCTTTGAGTGCATAATTGAAATAATACATTGGTGTTATATTATTAAAAATATGAATCTATAAGTTATCCGCTCTTGCAGAGTTTAGAGAAAATTTATTAGTATATGTCTCACTAAATTGATGAAATTCATAAATACAGCTTCCATAAATATCATTTTTAAAGCTATTCATTTTTTTAAAGTACAACTTCACCAATGCCTTTTTATTATCTGATTTTGAAGAAATATCTTTTTCTCAAGGATTAAATAACTGAGCTGTGAAATTAGTTGTTGTTGACTGTATATATCAGATGAAAGTAGAATGGGAGGGGAACAAGGGAAAGTAACTCTTCCTTGGGACTTCACTGAGCCAAGTTCCTGGGAAATGCTTAGTGAGAAATCATAAATTAAAATGAGTGGGACGAAGTGCCTTTTATGGGACTCATAATTAACCCTTGGAACCCTGCCACAATATTTTATGAAGGCAAATAACTTAGCAAGATTCAACAAGAAATTAGATACTATATCTGAATAAGAATGTCACTTGCAGGTAATCTAGTAAAAATTATAGAGGTTATCAATGATTATGCTTATATTTTAAATGATCACAAGCTAATGCCAAAAGAATAATGTTCTTTGAGATATAGTGTCAGAGGCTGAGCTAAGTGTTTTGGAGGCTGGATGGATCACGGACTCACTAAGTTTTTAGTTGCCGCAAATTATATTCTTCTAAACTATACAGTAGTGTTACAAAAATACCAGATTAAGCAGATTAAGCATTTGATATATAAAATGGATCTAAGCCTTAGATTTTTCTTTCATTCTCTGCTTCATCCCATCCTTACTCATATTTTTTATTACAATGCCAGTATTTTCACTGTGCCAGCCCCACTCTGGATGGTGGTGATAATACATAGAGAGGATTGAAAGATTCTTTGAACAGTTTACAGTGGTGAATTGAATATTCACCATATCATCATCTCAGACATTAAATAATGCAGTGGACAAGGTAGAGTATTTTGCACTTGGCTAGGTGGGTCTATTATAGTGAACATGTATATGGTATTTCTTCTCAGCAGATTAAGCTGCTACAAAAGAATGAACTATGCAAGAACTTCACAAAGTAAAATACATCCGTTTTTAGCATTAAATTCAATCAGAACATACAAAAATGTTAAATTAGATATTCTTTTGAGAGATGAGTCTGAAGAAAATCTGAGTATTTAATGTTATTCAAAGACAAAAGAGGAAGTTTGGTGGTTTTCTTCTTGCCTTCCCTGGTCTGTTCTAGTGGCTCTTTATCTCTGTATTTTTATATTTGTTTTAGTATGTGCCTTGCCATGTGATTTTATTTATACTAAGGTAAGAAAGATAAGGTGATGGTGTGGGAATAATCAAAACACAGTACAGATGTGCCCAAATGAGAAACTGTCAGTTTGTATTATTTGAATACTATGTCTCTAGTTTGGAATCAGTTCTACCTATATCATCTCTGTTATTTCTTTCCAATGGAAAAATATTATATATTTAGTCATGATTAAGCTCATCTTTCTTTGTCTTCATTAAAGGAACCAGCTATGAAAAAAGCAACATTTTCTGCCAAAATAAATTTAGTATAGAGGTGTGAATAAATATCAAAGACTTTTTTAAAAAAAAATATGTTTGTAAGAGCAGTTCTTACTGAAATTAGACAACTTTTTTTGTTTATATATTTTTGAAGACTTCTGCTCATAGAATATAATGTAAAAGACTGCCGAGACTAAATTAACAGAAAATGAAGATTCCTTCCATTAAGCTGTAAGTTAGGTGATGGTAGTAATAACTGAATATTTTACAGTACAATCCTCAGTGTTTTTACTTTAGCTAGAATGGCACAGATTGTCTCAATTGTTGAACTTCTCAAAGAAAGTTCAGTTGTAACATTCTATATAAGAGGAGATCGATTTACCCCCATACTTAACTTGCAGAGTTATTTATATGAATATTTTGTATACATAATTTGTTTGAAAGTTTAATCTTCTAACCTGTTCCAGTAATCAAATCTATAGTAAAATCTATCTTCTGGTTATATAGCTCATTATGAAACTTAGATTCTAGTTACTAAGAAAAACTGCACTAATATATTATGAATCTATTAATGCATATATAATATGAATGTATCAATGTAGAAACTATCAATAGCGATATTTTTCTTCATTACAAATTTTCAACTTAGTAACAACCTGCCATTTTTTTTCCCTGGTAGGAGAGCTGTTACTGGCAATTATGAGATACATAAAATGCTTTAGCATTACAGAAAAGCAAACTCTGTATTTAGAAATTTTCGTGTACACTTAGCAAGTTTACTATTAACTACATTTTGTTTCTTACTTAGAAATTATGATAGTAAGTAGAGTTCTTTAAATTAAAGAAAAGGCTAGGACAGTAAACCTCTTTAAATCAGTTGGGTAGAAGTTTATGAGTCTTGCTAATAAACCATTCCAATTAAAAGAACAAAGCAGGAAGGTAGGGAGTGCAAGACAGCTTGACTATTATGGGCCAGGCATTTTTCTTAGTGTTTTATAGTCACATGTATTGTACATTTAAGGTTCACACAAACTGTTGGAAGTCAGTCTTATTTGCTTCATCTGTAAATAATGTAATGAGGTGCATCTTAAGTTATAGGGAAGACTTTTCTGATATACAGAAAAGTTATTTTTTTTCTTAGTATGGTGCCTAGTGTTATCACCTGGTGGTTAGGTGCGCATCCTCTGGTGGCATACCTGCTGAACCTTCTGAATCCCAGTTTTGTCCTTCTCCATCTATAAGATATTGAGCAAAAATACTTAACTTTTTTAGTTCTTTGATTATTTTTCATTTTTGGAAAGAGAGTAATAATAGAACTTTTCTCATTCTGCATGATGATTGTGATAGGATTAAATTAGATAATACAGGTAAAGCACTGAGCACATTTCCTGGCACATCAAATCCTAAATTCTTATCAAAAGAAACTACTAATTTGGAAGTGCACAATATATCATTTCTGTAATACCATGTTAAAATAATATTATAGTAGTTACCAGAAGTAGAATTCAGTCCAGAGGTTCAATTTTATTTTTCTCTTTTTGATTAAATATTTTAGACTATGTAATATTTTAAAACAAATTGAAATATAAAAAAGATAATATGAAATCTGATGCAACTGCTGTCAATATTTAATGAATGTTAACCTGTCGCATTTTGAATATTTTATGATAATTTTATAATTCTTTGGATGCAATTGCTGAAGTCTTTTTATACCCTATTTCCACATAGACATTTAGACTCTGCTCCATTCCTTCCTTTGCATTCTGGAATAAACCACCACCCTAAAGTCTGTATGGATCTTTCTCATTGATGATTTGAAATTCATCGTGTATGCATACATTAAAAAAAACATAATGATGCTGTTTTATGTTCTTTTAAACTTTGTATAAATGGTAGCAGGTCATTTGTATCATTCTTCAGATTGCTTTTGACTTCAGTATTGTATTTTTGAGGTTTATATATGATGATTAATGAAGACATAGTCTGTTTATTTTAATTGTTCTAGAACATAACCTATATGACTATGTCCATTCACCTACTGATAACATTTAGGTTGTTTCCATTTTTTTCTATTACAAAAAAGCACAGCAATGTTATTCATACCGAATCATGCAAAAGTGCAAGAGTTTCTCAAGAACTCTGTTTAGAAGTAGAATTTCTAGCTGATGGGATATGTGTCACTCCAATGATTAGTTTCATATTGAGGCTGTAACAAGTTACCATACATTTAGTGGCTTGAAATGACAAATACTTATCATCTTACAATAGATACATAGATCTAAGTACTAGATCACAACTGTAACACAGGTCTCACTTAGCTAAACCAGCATGCTGGCAGGGCTGTATTTCTTTCTGGAGACTGTAGGGGAGAATTTGTTTTCTTCCCTTTTCTTGGTCCTAGAGGCCGCTCAAAATCCTTGGTTATGAAACCCTTCCTTCATCTTCAATGCCAGCAATGGTGGGCCAAGTCCTTCTCATATCATATCTCTCTGATCATTGTTATATCTCCATCTATCTATGACTGGGAAAGGTTATCCATTTCAACAGCTCACAGTATTATATTGGGTCCAGCCAGATAATTCAGTAAAATCTCCCTATTTTAAGGTCAGCTAATTAGGAACATTGATTCTATGTTCAACCTTAATCTTTTTTTTTGCCATGTAACCCAACAGAGTCAGAGGCTCTGAGGGTTAGGACATTGACATCTTTGGGGGAGCAGCTCATTGTTCTGCCTGCCATGTCAATGTTACCCAGTATTGCCTAGTAACTCCCTAAAATGTTTGTACCAGTTATGCTCCTACAAGTAGTGGATGAGCTTTCTTTTTTCTTTACATCTGGTCAACTTAGTGTTATTGGGTATTTACATTTTTGGTAATCTGTAATCTCTCTCTCTCTCTTTTTTTTTTTTTTTTTTGAGATGGAGTCTCGCTCTGTCACCCAGGCTGGAGTGCAGTGGCATGATCTCGGTTCACTGGAAACTCCGCCTCCCGGGTTTACGCCACTCTCCTCCCTCAGCCTCCCGAGTAGCTGGGACTACAGGCGCCCACCACCACGCCTAGCTAATTTTTTGTATTTTTAGTAGAGATGGGGTTTCACTGTGTTAGCCAGGATGGTCTTGATCTCCTGACCTCGTGATCTGCCCACCTCAGCTTCCCAAAGTGCTGGGATTACAGGCGTGAGCCACCGTGCCTGGCCCTGCAATCTGTAATCTCTTATTGTTTATTTTTTCTTTTCTCAGCAGAATTTTTATTTTAATTTCTCAAGTAAATTGAACTTCTTATAATGTGTTCATTGATTATTTTGGTTTCCTTTTTGAAAATTAATTTCATATCTATTGTTATTTTTCTAGCTGCATTGTTTTCTGTTTTTATATTAGCTTTAGAAGTTATTTATATATTCTCTATATTAATTCTTAGTAGGTTAAGTGGGTTCTCCCAGATTGCAGTCCTATTTAAAAATGCGTTTACCTTATTTTTGTATGAGAATTAAAATTGTAATGCAGAAGAATTTACTAATCTTTTACAGGTTGTACATTTTTTGTCTCATTTAAGAAGTTATTCCTAATCTGAGGTTAAAAGATACTGCTCTATTTTTTTATACTTATAAAATTTTTTCTCATATAAGTCTTTAATCCACTTGAAATTTTCAATGTGCTATAAAGCAGACATCCAATTTTATTTTATTTTCCATATGGATAACAATGGTTTTAATTTCATATACTGAATTTTCAATGGTTTCCCCACTCATTTTCTCCTTCTCAAAGTCTGCCATTATAACCTGTATGTTTCTGGATTTCTATTCAAAATACAATTCCCTGTTTCTAACCCCTCAACTTCAGTTCATACTAAAATCTTACCCTTACAAACATTAAATAGCTGATGATCTGCTGTATCTTAATCTGGATACTGAGTACATTGGTATATAAATTAGGTTTGCTACAATAATAAATTACTTCTTTTTCTTTTTGGTTTTAGACACAAAAGTTTTGTCACATATGTTCACGGTGACTGCTCATCAGTGGCTTCTGTTTCTGTTCCATATGTCTTTTCATATGAGTCTCAGCTAAAAAAAGAGAAGCTCCCATCTGAGAAGTGTCATTCACATGGTACAGGAAATAGAGGAAGAGCGTTGGCAACTCATTTAACGGCTCTCAAAGTCTCTGCTTGAATGTGAAGCACATCACTTCCACTCACTCCATTTGCCAAAGCAAGTCACATGGCTAAGCACTGTGTTGATTGGACAGGGAAATATATCTTCTTCCAGTAAGAGATTCAGCAATGCACATCACAAAGAGCAAAAGATATATGGTTTTCTTTTAGGATGGGAGAGTGACTATTAGAGAAAAAAATTAGTTAATATGCCAGAATAAGTAATCGTTTTACCATTCATATTTGTTAATTGTGTATGTTTTAGATAATTGCATATTTGATATATTTGACATTAAAATAGTGAGTTAATAATCTGTACATATTAGGCAAAGGATTGATACTGAATGCAGTAACAAACAAATATAAAATGTGAAACAAATCTTTAAGAGAGATATGTAGATTATATTCAGCATCTGCAATGAACCTAATGATGGCATGAAATTTGAAAGGTAAAATAGAGGGCAGTTTTAAAAAATAAAGAATGTTGAGTCTACAGATTAAATAAAGGGGCTCACAGAGGTCCAACCAAGATGAATAAAGTAAAAGTAAAGGAGGTTTTACATATAAAGGAGGGATTGATTGAATCTGTTATTAATGTGGTAACAAAACTGGGGATTTAAAAACAGAGATGTAACATGCTAGATTCATCCAGTTTTGATTCATACTGAGTTCATTTTCCTAGTGTGTACTGCAGTCTCCTCTTCATTTCTTTTTAAATCTTTACTCACTGTTCAGGCACACTGAACTTTAAATACTTTTTTTCTAAGCCAGCATGTCTTTTTGTTCCTGCTCTTGCTGTTCTCATTCCCTGAACTTTCCTTCATCATTCATTGTGCCAACAGTTTACCACTCCATTCTCTGTGCTTCATTAACCTGTATGCATACTTTTGACATAGAACTTTTATTAGTCATGTTTTTGTGTGTGTTTCTGTATTTCTAGTTATCATCAAACACTAGTCCCTGTAGGAGTCTTGCATATAGGATAAACTCATAGAGTACATGATTTAATGAGTAAATTGTGTCCCTCACTTTTTTAGGACTTTCTTTCCACCATTGTGCTGAAACTTATCCATTCCATCATTCAATCTAGTGGTTTTCAGTGGTGGTATCATACCATTCAGGTAGGGGTAATTGAGAAAAATAAAAATAATTTTGGGAAATTGCCACTGCAAAGGAAATTTGGACAAGGAGTCATAAACTCTGTCTTAAATGGTGACTATCTGAGTGGTTATTATAGTCCAAGTATTCTCTGTCAAGAAAGTAATCAAATTCCTTTATGAACTTAGAGGTGACAGCAGGAAAATTAAGGGAAGCCCATTTATTTTCTCATTGGTGTAAAAATAATTTATTATTAACATGACTTTAAGCATAAGCAACACAACTGATCATTTGGCTAATGACAAAACTGAGAAAATAGCCCTTACAAATTGTGAGGAAACCTATATTCTTTAATTATACAATTTGAATATGGATAATATTTCCATATGGTATTCCCTAGGGTGTAGACTCAGATCTTATTTTTTACTATAATACAAACAAAAGATGACTTACAGAAGAGATTTAATTACCGGTAAGGAATCCACATTTTGTGTTACAAATATTAGAGGAGTACAAATGGCAACCATGGAAAGGATGTATGTAATCCCCAGTGGAAAAAAGTGCTGTACTAAGAGTGTCAATTTGATGACGTATAGAATTGTAAATTACCATCCGAGTTATAGGATGAAACAAGGTAGAAGACAGCAGTAACACAGATTTTTTTCTTGAGATACTTAATTATATAGCTAATTTATTTTAAGTAAGCTCTTTAGAATGTTCAATAAAATATTATCCGTGGCCAGGAGCGGTGGCTCATGCCTGTAATCCTAGCACTTTGGGAGGCCGAGGTGGGCAGATCACTTGAGGTCAGGAGTTTGAGACCAGCCTGGCCAACATGGTAAAAATCTCATTTCTACTAAAAATACAAAAAATTAGCTAGGTGTGGTGGAATGCACCTGTAATTCAGCTACTCAGGAGGCTGAGGCAGGAGAATCACTTGAACCTGGGAGGCGGAGGTTGTACTGTGCTGACATTGTGCCACTGTACTC